AAAAATAAATAAAATCTTTAAAAAAAATTACTTTTTAATTTATAATAAAATTATGATCCTCCCCCCCCAACCACACAAAAAGAAAATGCAACCATGGACCCATATAGCGGCACAAACATCCAATGGAGGGAGTTTGTTTTTTTTTTTTTAAAAAAACATTATACTTTAAATATCCAAATAAATTTAAAATTGAACATAATCTACTGCCATATATTTGGAAAAAAAGGTTTACTGGTGATCTTAAACACTTAGAAACACATTAATGCCAGCTCTGATGAATTCATTTTATAGTATTTTTCTGATTATTTTCCTTCATGCTGTTTGTCCTTTTTACCCCTCTGTTCTGGTCTTTAATATTCAGTGTGATACCAGATTTCAAGGATCCAATAGATTCTAGCTAACATAAAGGACCCAGGCATTTTATTTATTTAATTAATTTTTTTAGAGAAGGGTGTGGTGGAAGGGTAGGGGGAGAGGGAGAGAGAGAATCTTAAGCAGGCTCGATCTCACAAAGATCATGACCTGAGCTGAAATCAAGAGTTGGACGCTTAACCAGTTGAGCCACCTAGGCTCCCCTAGGCATTTTAAGTGAATAGGAAAAAAGCATCAACATTTTACAAATTCTGAACATGGTTAAACTCAGTGCTAAGGAGACATAAATAACACCAACAAAGGGACGTTCAGAATACTTTGCCACTTCTTTATATCTGTTTCTAATATGGAAAGGGTTATTTTTTTCTTGCTTTCAAATATTTTATCAACCAACTTTGCAGGTTGATGTTGAATTCTGACCTGCAACCAAACTCTGAGTCTCCTTTGATTTATGACCAATCTGGAGAATTCCAACCCCCCCCCAAATTGTCAAACAGGCTTGTTAGATAGTTTCTGGCATGGCCACGTCAAAGTCCAAGGACCCCCATAGGATGAATTGTTTCTTTTGCAGAACAGGAGAGATTAGAGGCAAATCAATGAATGGGAGAAAGCAAGAGATTCATTTAGCCCATTTGTTCATTTCACTTTTATTGTTAAGTTCCCAGCCTTTTCCTGGGACTATTTAGAAATATTTATAGAGGGTTAGGCTGGGTCTGCCTTTCCACAAACAGATAAGAGCTGCTCAGGGACAGGCACCATTTTTTTTTATTTGTCTTTGTGTCCACAATACCTAGCTCAGTGTCTGGAACACTGAAGTGCTCAATAAATATTTGCCAAACTGAGCTGATCTGAAGGATTGGCCTAATTTATGACTGCCTTCGTTAAATATTCCAACATTACTAATGGTAATAGAGTCATTAGCAGACCTGTTATTTCCTCTGGTTATAGTCTTCAGAATGGATTAAAATGTTACAGTGATTCATGAAACAGCTATTTATAGCCATTATAGCTATTAAGGAGTGAGGTTGTTTTATGTGTGAAACTGCCCATGGATTCACACCTCATGACTGGATCCTTACATCTAAATGGTAATCCATATTTCATTCTATTTTCAGATTCTAGTGTAATTTCTCAAGTAATTATACCTTCCCTGGCATGCAGGGAAGCAGTAACTAGACCTCTGTAACAAGGAGCAGCCAATGCCTTACAGCCATAAGTATATACCTGAAATAGCCATTAACAGTGTTAATACCACCTATTATTTATTAAATGCCTCTTATATGCCAGGCCCTGAAATAGGTACTTTAAATACTTTATGGCCAATCTTTACACAAAAATTATCATGGAGGCATTATTATCCCCATTTTACTGATGCGCACACCAGAGGCTCGGAATAGTTAAGGTACTTATTCAGGGGAAAGCCAGGACTCTGCATTGTTTGATGGAGTGAGTTTAGAAAATTGCCTTAATTAGCTGCCTTCTTGTCTAAAGCACATACATTACCTGATCTCTGTACATCTTCCTTTTAGAAAACGAATTGTTTTTATAAAGCCAGATCATTCAGTTAAGCTAAAACCATCTTGTCTAATTTTCCCCCTAGGAAAAACTTCTAAAACTTCCTTTCCTTTTAGATTTACTTGCCATGGATTGGCGACTGGTCAGAGTTATATCTTCCGGGTCAGAGCAGTGAATGCAGCAGGACTTAGTGAATATTCCCAGGATTCAGAAGTGATTGAAGTAAAAGCTGCTATTGGTAAGTTCCTTATGCATAACTTGGTAGTTAAAAATGGATTTTTGTAAGTTACAAAGGAAGATACCATCCTCTCCAGAAATTGTCTAAAGCTTCTAGTATTGCTTGATGATTCCATCCTCAGATGATCATTTTCTCTGACTCCAGGTGACAGCTAACCTTCCATAGCCGTCATTTTACAGATCTTCATCACTTATCAGATTCTGTGCATCCATAGCCTTGTCATCTTCATGAGTCCGAGTTTCCTCAGATATTTCCCACTGTGTGAAACTCCATTCTAACTTCGTGCTCATCCTGGGGATGTGGAGGGCCATCCGGTTCCTTGAAGTGGTATATCACCCATAACACAGATATTTTGTACCTAAAAGCCATTTCACCTGTGACAAAGCCTGGCTTGTTTTCACTAACAACACATTAACATGCTTTTTATAAACTATAAATTTTGTGCGAGACACATGTGGTTGCTTAATCATATGCTACATCTCTGCTCTCAAAGTAACCAATAGAATAAAACCGGTAACAAAGTAATTGTGTGTATGTATATGATGTGCCTCCCAATCTTACATAAAGTAGGGAAGGGACCCAGGTAGTTCAGAGCACCAAAAATGAAGTCTGTGATAGAGTAACCCATATTTGAAAGGAAAGATTATTTCATACCAGTTATCTTCGGTTATCATGCCGTATTACTTTTTAATATTCCTTATAATATGGACAATAGTGACCATGTTTTTTGAGGTTGGGAGGTACAGGCCATTAATAGTTCAGTAATGTACATAATTCTGTTATAAAATCAGGATCTTTAATATATGCCTTGTGCACTTTATGATCCTTTCCTCCCCTCATTGTGTTGAATAATAGGACTTAATATCTTTCAAAAAATGTCGGAGATTTGCTTTTTTCTTATATATACTTGGGTTCTGCAAATCAAAACAATTCCTGTTCTGTCTGTGGTTTTCTGTTCTCATTTCTTCTTTTCCCAGAATATGGAGAAGTTGAACTGTTTCCTAGGTGTAAATTATGTGAAACGTATGCCTTCCATATTTCCTGCCAATCTGAGTGGTTTCCATTAAACTAAGATTACTTTTGTTCTGCTTGTGGTCCTGTTTTTCCCTTTGTTCTATTAAGTAAGAACAATTTATACTGTGTCTGGGCTTAAAGTGTTTCTGTTGTTATCTGGTGATTATAGGGGGAGGCGTGTCTTCCGATGTGTGGCCTGAAATGAATGATACACCTGGTGGACTAACAGACTCCAGGGGAGGCATGCATGAAGCCTCCCAGCCAACCTTTAAGAAAGATGCTTTGCTTGGTAGCAAACTTAACAAACCTTCACTACCCAGTAGCCCTCACAACCTGGGCCAAACAGAAGTGAGTAAAGTAAGTGAAACAGTTCAGGAAGAGCTTACCCCATTACCACGGAAGGCAGATGGTAAGGGGAAAAGTAAGTCTGACCCTCTGAAAAAGAAGAAGGACATAGGTGAGCGTCGAAAGAGTACAACTGTTCATCTGTCTCCATCAGTGTCCTCACCTCATTGTCTAGATCACATTCTTCCATCTGTGTTCACTTTCATCTATGTTTATTCTTCATTTGACATGTTTTCAGCTATCCATTTGCAATACTTTTGTCTAATGAGTTGTAAAAGTAATTTTATATGAGTTTGGCTTTTATATATACTTCACTGTGCTTGATGACAATAGAATATTTTCTTCTTTAATAGAATATTTAAAATAATTTGGTTATAGAGTCCTTTTTGGTTTCTCAGGCAGACTTACCTTTGGCCTCATTTCACTAAGAAAATTAGAGCTGAGAGCAGGAAGAATTTGATAATCACAGCCTATGTGGGGTCCTTTGAAATATTCATGTTCAATACATATATAGGAAAAATATTTTACAAAGAAGTCACATTTTATCAGGATCATAGTTATTAACTTCTATTGTTCATCTTCAGGTTTTCAAGTTATCCTTTATATTTAACTCAAATAAATATAAGTAACGTTATCTCTTTGAGGTGCCATGAAAAGTTTAACAGGGTATCATAATCACATAAAGCTAAATTCTGTGCTATATGAATCACATTCCCAGAACTGATTTATTTAAGACTATTTATCAGTAAGCTCAGAATTTTCTTATTAGGATATTTGGTACTTGTGGCTTATATATTCTAGGTGACAGTGTTTTCTTAGCAAATAAAAATGAAATGATAAACATATACTGATACTCCACCCCCAACTTCTCTCACTTCCTTTTTTTTTTTTTTTGAACCTTTATTGTCTCCTCAACTCAAAATGGGATATTCATTAGAGAATTCACATTCAGTATTGCTCTGTAATAGGAAGAGTAAGAGAGGGAAAGTTGTTTTTTGTTTTTTTTTTTTTTTAAGTAAAGAATGAAGGAGGTTGGTGAGGGGGAGGGAGAAACAAATGTATTTTATTTTTTAAATCTTTATTGTTCTAAGACTTGAATAAGAATAAATAGTTTTTTTTTCTGTAATCCAAATAAATATTCAGAAAACCCTTCGATGTTATTGCACATCTAGATGGATTTCTTTTCATCATCTGACCCTCTCTCTCTTTTTTTTTTAAGATTTTATTTATTTATTTTACGGAGAGAGACACAGAGAGAGAGGGAACACAAGCAGGGGGAATGGGAGAGGAAGAAGCAGGCTTCCCACTGAGCAGGATCGATGCGGGGCTCGATCCCAGGACCCTGGAATCATGACCTGAGCTGAAGGCAGACCTAATGACTGAGCCACCCAGGCACCCCAAGACCCTCTCTTTCTTTATCAAAAACCCTAATTTAGTAGTTGGATAAAAAGTTGATCAGAAGCCACATGAATGAAGGAAGACTTTTAAAATATCCTCCAGATATTTTTCTGGCTAGGAACTAATAACCACAGTGACAGCTATATAGTATTTTGTACTACATGAATAATAGTCCAATATCAGGTTAAAAATAATGCAGCAAAAGATATTATATATTAAGAGAAAAAAATCACATGGCAGATTGTGCCTGTTTCTTTTTTTTTTTTTTTAATTTTTTTTAAGGTGGCATTTAGCTGAGCTCCAAATAAGATTTTTTTCTGTGTGTAGACAGAACTTGTTTAGTTGTAAGGTCTCACAAGAGTATGTATGCCTGAATGGTGAAATGCTAACCATTTGGAAATAACATGGAGATTCTCCATAAGCACATTGAGGCAGAAATTGATATACATTACTTCATTTTCCTCCAGGAGCAAATAAGAACAAAACCACATAAAGAAACAAAAATATATATATTGGGGAAAATATTTCTTCTTATGGGGAACAGAATCATTTTTCAGAATATTGCACCATTTTGCTTCTGGTATTTCAAAAATTGTTCTTCCGTGGAAGTGGGGGGGCAGTGGAATAATAATTGTAGTACGCTTTTCACTGTGTGTTAGTTTTTTTCTCATACACCAAACTGGGTGCCAAGTTACAGATCAGTCTCACATTTTAGTTTTATACTGCAAGACCCTAGGGCCCTCACACGTGGCACGAATGAAGCAAGCTTAATGTACATAAAATCATAAATGCATTCTGTCTACTCACTTGCTATTCATATTGCAACAGCGGCACCATCTCCTCCCTGTGATATCACTTGTCTTGAAAGTTTTCGTGACTCAATGGTTCTTGGATGGAAGCAACCAGATAAGACTGGAGGGGCTGAAATTACTGGCTATTATGTGAATTATCGTGAGGTAATTGATGGAGTACCAGGAAGATGGAGAGAAGCCAACATCAAAGCTGTCAGTGATGAGGCATATAAGGTAAATGACCTTCTGTAGTGTGGAGTCATATAAATGATGACATGCTCCCTTGCACTCACATGCACATCCACACCCACACTCGGCGCCTTGTAAATGATTCATGTCATTTCTCCGGTGTCCATTGTCTACAATGACATGGACTTTTGTCAAAAATATACCAAGATAAATAGAAGTAATCTGACTGAGCAGGAAGGATTTGTATTTTCTGATTCATACACATAAACATAATAACTTCCTAGAATATTCACTATAAAATGTTTACTTATGGTAAAAATTAATGGTTATTTCAAAACTTACAAAATATCTGTAACCAGTGTGCTGCTAGTTTCAAGGGTCCCAGAATCCAAGTGACTGCATTTTTCATTTTCAGCATTCAAATCACAAAGGATAATGGGACATGGGCCCTCAGCTCACCACCTGTGAAGGTTCCCCCACCATAGTGGCTCTGATAGCCACGAAGGGATGGTCCACATGTGTCTAACCACAGATTTCTTTTCTTCACTGCTTTGCCCATCTCAGGGTACTTGAGTCTCACTGTTGCCATAGCTATGGCTCCCCTCTTTGGAGTATTGTCAGCTAGAGGAAAGTCACCCTCCAACACTCCCAGGACCCCAGGCTGTGAGGGCAAGAGCAGGGTGAGGCTGGGGGAATGATGCTTTCCCAAACTCAATGGCACAGTTTTTAAATCTAACATTTAAAACTTAAGAAATATCACACACATTCTGAACACATAAAGAATAAAACAAGAATATATAAAATAAAATTGTATTTTTAAGATTCTTCCATGTTGGTGTGTAGCTATGACTTCATTACTCTATGGTATTCTATTATATGAGTGTCTCACAATATACTTTTCCATTCAGTTATTGATTGATATTTGGGCATTTTCACATTTATAGCTATATCAAACAGTGTAGCTATGAACATTTTTGTGTATGTCTGCTGGCATATATATGCACTAGTTTCTCTAGGTTATTACCTAGAAGTAGAATTGCTGGGCCAGAGAATCTGTTTATCTTCAATTTTAGTAGATAAGTCTATACTATTTTTCTGAAGAGTATGAGAATTCCCATTGTTGCACATCCCTCTAACACTTGGTATCACACATTTTCAGTTTTGACAATCTGGGTGTCAAATGAGTCTGAATATCATTTGCTATATATACATACTCCATTTTGAAATCTCCATTTATAACATGCCTGTACAGAGTCTTTGCCCATTTTTCTAATAGATTTTCTTACTGACTTGTGAAGTTCTTTATATATTCTGAGCTTAAAATCCTTGGTAGCTGTGGAAGCTGTGTCTATCTTTCCTGCTCATTGGCTAGTATTTTCTTCTCTTTATAGTAACAACACTAATTCATGATAGCCAGACTTAACAACATTTTCTGTGTCTTTGCTCTGCCTTTTTTTTTTTATGTTATGTTAATCACCATACATTACATCATTAGTTTTTGATGTAGTGTTCCATGATTCACTGTTTGCGTATAACACCCAGTGCTCCATTCAGTACGTGCCCTCTTTAATACCCATCACCAGGCTAACCCATCCCTCCACCCCCTCCCCTCTAGAACCCTCAGTTTGTTTCTCAGAGTCCATAGTCTCTCATGGTTCGTCTCCCCCTCTGTTTTCCCCCCCTTCATTGCTCTGCCTTTTTAATTTTTTTTTAAGAGATGCCTTTGCCTTCCAAGGTCATGGGGATATTTTACTAGATTATCTTCTAAAAGCTCTCTGGTTTGCCACTTACATTAAAGTCATTACTTCACCTATACATTTTGTGTGTGATGTAAAGGTCAACATTTGTTTTTCCCCTGTAGGGACACCCAGTTGTCTCATCTATTGAAAAGTTTGTCCTTTTTCTACTATTCTGCTAGACTATCTGTATCATGTATCACGTTTCTTTGATGCACGTGTCTGCTTCTGTGTTTTCTATTTTGTTCCACTGCTGTTTGTCTACCACTGGACCAGTACCACATTAATTTAATCATTACCACTCATAGCAAATTTGATAACTGGTAGATCAAGTTATCTCAGTTTATTTTTTAATTCCAAGGCTATTTTTAGCCCCTTTGCACTTTGATATAAATTGTAAAATTAGGTTACCACGTTCTACCAAAAAAGGACAAGCAAAAGCAAACACAATAAACAGAATTAAACTAAACTAAAACATTTTAGAATTCTGATTGGGATTGCATTGAATCCATAAATTGAGGAATAATTGACATCTTTAAAATATTAAGTCTTCTAATACATAAACATGATATTTCTCACCATTTATTTTGGTCTTTAAAGTTTCTCAGTAAAGTTTTATAATTATCTATAGAAGTTTTGCACATCATTTGTTATTTATTTATAGGTATTACATATTTTCAGTGTTTAAATGGTATGTTTTTATATCATTTTGTTATTGCTGGAATAGAGAAATATACATCATTTTATGTATTGATTTTACATATCATTGTTATGTATAGATCTCTACTAAATTTTCTTATTATTTCTTTAAGTTACCTATGAGCTTTTTTTGATTCTCTGTAAATCATCATATCATCTGTAAATGACTGTTTACTTCTTCATTTCCAAATTTTATATTTTTTGCTTCATTTTCTTAACTTTCTGCTTAAAATCTTTAACAAAATATTGATAGAAGTGGTGATCTTGGTCATTCTAGATTTGATCTTTGTCTTAAAGGAAAACATTTCACCATTGAGTATTATATTTACTATCAGTGTTTGATAGACATCTGTTATCAGCTAAAGGAAGTTTCCTTCTGTTCCTAGTTAAGAATTAATTAAAATTATGAAATATTTTTTCTGAATCTATTGAGATGGTTATATGATTTTTCCCTTTAGTTTTAATGTAGTATATTCTAGTAATTAATGTTAAAATAACCTTGCATTCCTGGCATAAATCTAAGCTGGACATTATGTAAACTCTGTCTATATATTACTGGATTTTTTTTTTTTTTTTGCTTATTGTTGTTTAGGATTTTTGCTTCTATGTTTATGAGTGAAATTATCCTGAGACTAGAGTTAATTTGATACAAATACCTGACAAGGATAGTACTGAAAGGGAAAATTGCAGGTTAATCTTACTTTATTGAGATATAATTCACATATCATAAAATTCACCCAATTCAAATGTTGCTTTATATATTTTGAAGGGGTGTTGTTAGATGTATACAAAGTGATTTTCTGTATCACTAACAATATATTTTGCCTTCAAGTCTATATTATCTGTTTTAATATAAATTAATCAATTTTCTTTTTGTTGGTGTTTACATGGTATATAATTTTTCATCCTTTGACTTTCTAGTTTTAACTTTGTGCTTTATATGTGTCTCTTAAAAATAGTATAGAGTTGGATATTTTTCCTACCTGAGAGTCTTTGTCTTTTAACTAGAGTATTTAATGTTACTACTACTTTTTGGAAAAACCAATCATCTTTATTTTGTGCTTTCTCTTTGTCCTACCTGTTCTGTTTCATTTTCTGTCCTTCCTTGACTACTTTTGAATAGTTATGTTTTTTCCTTCAGCCATCCCCTTTTCTCCCTCTACGCTTCCTTGAAAGCTATAGATTCTGGGTTTCTGTGTTTGTTTTTGGTGGTTACTCTAGAAATTACAGTGAGCAAATTAACAGTCTAAATTAATTCTATTGCTTTACCCTTGTCTAAGAAAAATAGGGCCTCAGAATACCTAAGCCATTTATTCTATTCCCAACTTGTATGCTATTGTATATGTGCTTTTAACTCATTTTTTAAACCAAAAGTATTGTTATTATTGTTTTATAGTCAATAATTATTTAAGTTTATCTAAATTATTTTAGTTAAGATTTTATTTGCTTTTAATTTCACATCTTTCACCTTCCATTTGAGATTACTTTCCTTTCATCTAAATTAAATAGTTTAGAATGTTCTTTAGTTAGGGTATTCAGAAGGTACATACTCTTCATTTTTGTCTGAAAATAACTTTTTTCTTCATTCTCCAAAAAATTTTTTCTAGACAAAACATTATATAATGGTAGTTATTTTCTTTCATATTTTGAAGGTATATTCCACTGTCTTTTGGCTCGTTGTTGCCAGTGACATGTCAGCTTTTAGTCTGTTTGCTCATTTGAGAGTTGTCTTTTCTCTTAGATAGCTTTTAATATTTTCACTATGTTTGGTGTGCTACAGTTAAAATATTATGTGTCTAGGTATAGGTTTTAAAAAATGCCTTTGCCTAGGATTTTGGCATGAGGAGGATTTTTAATCTGTGGGTTGGATTTTTTCAGGAAGACCTTTCTGGAAAATTCTAAGCCATTTATCTCCTAAAATATTGTTGCTGCCCCATTCTCTCCCCTCTCCTCTTGAAACTCTAGTTAACATGTATTTGACATTCTCATTCTGTCTTCCATGTCTATTAATCACTCTTCTCTCTTTCCTATCTTTGTGTCTTTCTGCACTGTGGTCTGTGTAATTTCTTATAACTTTCCATTAGTTTACAAATTTGCTCTTCTTTTGCATCTGATTTCCTGTTAAACACATCCATTATTTTTCTCTTATTGTATTTTTCCCTTTTTAGGTCACATTTTACAAAATATTTTATAGTTTGCTGTCTCCTGCAGATATTTTATTTTATTTATTGTTTTAATGTTTCAAGTTTTTATTTAAATTCTACTTAGTTAACATATAGTGTAATATTAGTTTCAGGATTAGTCCTGCAGATATTTTAAGTTTGTATTTTATGTTTAAAACATAGTAAGCATAGCTGTTTTTCTAATCTATGTCTGATGATTCTACCATCTAATATCTTTGCAGGTCTGTATCTGTTATCTTTGGTTTTGTAGTCTGGCTCATGGTATCTTGTTTACTATGCTTGGTTATTCTTGATTATGTGCTGCTCATTGTCATTAAAATATTATTTGCATGAATAATTTGAGCTTTAGGATGAAGGCATCTTTCTCTGTAGAGGATTTGTTTTTGCTTCTGCAAGGTGCCTGGGGATACCACCTGTTAAGTTTTTGTTTTTTTTTTTAAAGATTTTATTTATTTATTCATGAGGGACAGAGAGAGAGAGAGAGAAGCAGGCTTCCAAGGAGCAGGGAGCCCGATGTGGGACTCGATCCCAGGACCCTGGGATCATGACCTGAGCCGAAGGCAGACACTTAACCATCTGAGCCACCCAGGCACCCTGTTAAGTTTTTTCTTAAATCAAATACAAGACTTTATTTTTTTGGACAATCAAGCAATGTGAATTTGCACTGTATAAAGGCAGGTTTATTTCTAATTCAACTTTACTCCCAAAGAGTAAAGCCCTTTAGGGTTCCATCTTAATTATAGAGGGTTCCCTTTTATTATCCCCTTTTTAGGTTGGGTCTAGGCTTTGATTTCTGAGTTCCTCTGCTTTTGAGATAATCAAAACCAAAGGTCAAATTTTTCTTTATTGGCAACTATCCCCAAGGTAAAAGCTACTTCTGTGTTCCACTTATCTTTTTTTTTGGTTTCCTATTTCCCTTTATTCTGTCCTGATAATTCTGTAACGTCTTTTTTTTTTAATATTTTATTTATTTATTCGAGAGAGAGCAAGTGAGAGAGAGCATAAGCAGGGTGAAGGGCAGAGGGAGAAGCAGAGTCCCTGCTAAGTGGGGAGCCGGATGTGGGACTCAATCCTCGGACACCGGGATCATAACCTGAGCTGAAGGCAGACACTTAACCAACTGAGCCACCCAGGCATCCAATTCTGTAACATCTTGACATTAATTTGATGCTTTTGAAAAGATTTTTAAAAGATATTTTTATCTAGGATTTTGAATTTTTTAGCAAGACAATTAATCTCTGTAGCCTAGTTCACCATTGCCAGAAAAAGAAGTCCCATGCCACAGTATTTCACCTAAGCCTAGAATGACCAACTTTTCCCATTTGCCTAGGACTCTCCTAATTTCAACACTATATCGCCTACATCCTTAGAAACCCCATAGTCCCAGGAAAACTGGAATGGTTGGTCATACTAATGGAGCCCCAAAACAGCCCTGTACCTGAATAAAGTACTTTTAGATCCAAGTTATCTACATGATGGTTTCCTCTTAATTAAAAAGATCTTCCCTTCTTAAAGGGAATGTGTGTGCATGTGTGTGTGAATCAAAAAGGGAGTTTGTATTATTCTGTTACCATAACATATAGCCATTATATTCACCTTATACCCTAAATAACTGGCAAGACAAGCCCTCTTGCAGATGAACTTATGACTTCATGATCAAATCAGGTGTAGACTGGATCATAGATATATACTTGTTTTGCCTTGTCTTAAGTCATACAATAGGTAAGCTTTGTTAATTCAGCTGATTCCATCAATACCTCCATTATTAAGCATTTTTTTTTAAGATTTTATTTATTTATTTGACAGAGAGAGACACAGAGTGAGAGAGGGAATACAAGCAGGGGAAGTGGGAGAGGGAGAAGCAGGCTTCCCACAGAGCAGGGAGCCCAATGTGGGGCTCGATCCCAGGACCCTGGGATCATGACTTGAGCCGAAGGCAGACAGACGCTTAATGACTGAGCCACCCAGACACCCCATTATTAAGCATTTTAAAAAGATTTTATTTACTTATTTGAGAGAGAGCGAGAGCATGAGCGGGGGAGGGGGGGAAGGGGCACAGGGAGAGGGACAAGCAGACTCCCCTGAGCACAGATCTTGACTTGGACCTCGATCCCAGGACCCTGAGATCATGGCCTGAGCTGAAATCAACAGTTAGACACTTAACTGACTGAACCACCTAGGCGCCCCCATTTATTAAGCATTTTTAATGCTCAAAGGATTGTGTATAGTCCATGGATTTTTTTCACACTAATATATTCCATCATTTCTATTTTGCAAATGTTTCACATTCATTACTTTATCACATATATTTACCACAACCCAATTTCTTCTGAGGGATATAGAAAACATTAGGTCAATAGGGAGCACAAAAATGACAAGATTTTGAATATTTTGATTCCTAGCTTAGAATTCTTTTAATTTTCATCTGTACAAGCATTAATTTTCTATTAATTTGTTATAAAACAGTGTCCATGAGTCAGGAGTTTAGGCATGGCTTAGATGGGTCTTCTGCTTGGGCTCTCACAAAGATGTCAGCTGGGCTCATTCTACTCTGGAGCTGAGTTCCTCTTCCAAGCTGATTCAGTTATTGGCAGAATTTAGTTCTTTCAGCTGTAAGTCTGGGGCCTTCTGCTTCTAGAGGCTGCCCTTCTCCAAATTTGAGTGGCTAGGTAGTTCACAACCTGGCATTCACTTCTTCAATGCCATCAGGACAGTGTTCTCATCATGGAAGTCCCAAACCCCATTTTGACAGTTTTCATCTGATTAAATCAGGCCTACCCAGGATAATCTCCCTTTTGATGAACTCAAAAATCCACTGATTAGGGACTTTAATTACATCTGTAATATCCTCTCTCCTTTTCCATATGATGGAACAACAATCACAGGGTGATATTCCAATACCTTTGCCATATTCTCTTGGTTGGAAGCAGGTCACAGGCTTCACCCACACTCAAGGGGAGTAGATTACAAAAGGGTATAACTCATTGGGGGTCACTTCAGGGTGTGTGCAACACAGGAGGTAAGTAAACAAAATATTGAACAACTTAAAAAAAAAACCTGAATCAACATCCCCTCTCTGTGATATTGTCATGTTGCAGATTAGCAACTTGAAGGAAAACATGGTGTATCAGTTCCAAGTGGCAGCCATGAACATCGCTGGGTTGGGAGAGCCCTCAGCAGTAAGCAAATGCTTCAAATGTGAAGAGTGGACCATTGCTGTTCCAGGTAAATCATGAAAAACATTTCTCAGCACTGAGGCTTGGGGTTTCTTTCAAAAGAACCTACAACTTGGAAGTAAATTTAAGTGCCATATAGACAGCTCCTAAGGGAAAAGAATTCTCTTTTGTTTACCTGAGATATTTTTATAATCCTATTAAATAATAGGTGCCAATATAAAACTGACTATGATTTCTTGTGCTTGTATTCCAAATAAATCCTAGAGCCCTCATAGTTATACCTCTGCTTGGAATAAGATTAACAGAAGCACAAATCTGAGTTCCAATGATCATTGAAAAGGAATTCTCATTTTTGTTTGTGCTTCTTAATAAAGACCACTGAAGAGCATCCAATTCGTATCCCACAACAAAAGGTCTCAAAAACTTCTTCCTGTACTCCCTAATTCTCATGCATTCTCCCACTGTGCTGGAACCTTTCATTTATCAACCTCCCCCAAATCTCTCTCTCCAAGCTCAGCCAATGTAGCTCCTCTTCCTTGTTGTCTCTCTCCTCCCTTGCTGCTAGCTCTTTATTATATTATGTAGGCAGACTTAACATGCCTGCCTAGGACTTAAGTTCTGGACTTTCTCCGCTTCTCCAGTCCTTTTGATCTCTCTACACTTTTGTCTCAACTCTGCATCACAATAAATTTCCTGAAACTGGCTGGAAATATTCTCCTTTGAAGGTTGCCATAGTGGGTGGTTGGCTGAACAGGGAAGAAAATGGGGAGAAGGTAGAAACATTTACCTGTGCTTTTTAAAACATAGCAACAACACTGAACTAATTAAAAAATTGAATACAAATAAATTTACTAAGCCGTTAAGTTTCAAACTAGCAAGACATTAATGTATTTGGTGGGTGATTTTATTTTGCTTCCAACAGTACCAACTTCACAGACCCAATGAGTGCCACAGGATGACTAGATTCTCCCACTTGGGTTTAATATTCAACATACGTAACAACTGGTATAGCAGCAGTATCGACCACATTAGAACACAAGGCCATGCTGGAGCATACTGGATAGATCCAGCCCTGTCCCTGATGCCACCCTCTTCCTCTACTTGAAACGCTAGTGCCCTTGAAGAACCATCATTTTTGCCTTTCTTAGAGAGCTTCTGTTTGCATCACTTCTCCATCAAGTGTGAATAAAGAGATTACAAGAGAAACCCAAGAGAAGTTCAAGCACTCACTCAACTTCAGTAAATATACAGGGCAAACATGCTGCCTTTCCTTGCACCTCCTTTAAGCCAGTTGGTATTTCTTAAGCTCTTTCTCTCACCTACACAAAAGTGGATCTGTTTTTAAATTCTTGCAATTCCTGAATAAAGTTAAAATATGAGTGACTAGAGACTAAGAAATACTGAGCAGGCTTGTGGAAAATGTTTTGATTGAAAGAGATGTAGTTAGCAAAAGAGGTTGTAGGGTGAGTGCTACCTGTTTGGATGCCTCATGGGGTTCTGAGGATGGCACAAGAAAATGATTTAAAATCCTCTTTGCGAAACAGAACATGACACACTATTACAAGGCATTGATGTTATTATTTAAATCTATTACCATGTTATTTAAACCTCTTACCTTGTCGGAAGGCAAGGATGACACATACCCATGACGGTTAAGCCAAGGGACAGGGCCCCACAAATATTGAGCTATTAATTGCAAAATGCAAAAGCATTGCATAGCATATGTTTGTAGCTGGCTTTTAGGGCACCATGAGTCAGTTCAGGGGATTTTGATTGGTTGGTTAGAAATCAGTTATTTAAAAGAAAAAAAGGTCAGGAAAAAAGAAAATAAATATATCACCTACATAGCAGCTGGTGGTCATGGAAAGATGTGGGAGATCACTTAGTAGTTTGGATTCTCCCAAGAGTGCAAAGAGCACATGGGCAGGGAAGACATTTGGCTTTCTTCCTAAACAGGTTGATCAAGTTACTTGGCTTCTTTGAGTTTTCTGTTGTCTTAAGGATGAATGAGATAAATAAATATAAATAGCAGTGTTTAGCTGGGACCCACGGGATTGATTTTATTTGTTTTGGTGAAAGTTCTTTGTAAACTGTAATTGTAGTTTGTTTTTACTCCTAGATAGAATATTTGCTTTATGGAAAAGATTTCCCTCCAGAGCGGAGCTATTTTGTAATATATTCCTTTTTCCTATAAAAGAAATATTACTATCTATATTCATATGCCATCAAATAGGGTTGCTTTCTTCATCCTCATTTGAGGTTTAGGGTAATTTTCAGATTACCATCCAAAAATAATCTGAAACTGAACCTGCAACCAAATTAAGCTGTTCTTGATAAAAGATGAGGACCACAAGCCCAGGAACACCCTGAAGGCAAGTTTTCATCCAGCCTCGGAGTGGGGGGCACTTTGAATTGGCTCTAACCACCTGCTGCCCAGAAAGGGACTTAGTAGGTTGATGTAGAGCCATTGAGGAAACGTGACACAAAATGAACACAAAATACCTATTTCTACAGGAATGGTAGATTTCACAAAAGAAGAACACTGGATTCAGCTTTAAGACTTCAGATGTGGTTAGATTTACCCGTATTTGCATTTTGTCATCTACGTTATGATTTGTATACATTGGTCTCTCTGTCTCTTTTTCAGGACCCCCACACAGTGTCAAATATAGTGAAGTCAGGAAAACCTCCCTGGTTCTGCAGTGGAAGCCTCCTATCCACTCTGGAAGGACTCCAGTCACTGGTTACTTTGTGGACTTGAAGGAGGCCAAGGCCAAGGATAGCCAATGGCGAGGACTCAACAAAGCAGCTATTAAAAACACGTACCTGAGGGTAAGAGGGTGCTCATATTTTGAGAAACCTTTTTTTAAAAAGAAGAAATGCTCCCCAAATGATATTAACTTTAAAGTTAGCAAGATAAAACACAACATTTCTGCTGTGGTCTATTTCATATATTGGGCTCCTCGTAAGATTCCATTTAGCAGTGGCTGGGGATGGGGGGAGTTTCTGGTGCTTAAAGCAATTTGGTTATATTTAACCTGAATCCCTTAGCCTAGCTTCAGAAAATATTCCACAAGCTCCCTCCTCTCTCTTCTTTCCCTCCTTGCCTCTACTTACCCACCTCACATTTTTGTTACTCACGGTCTTAGAAAGGTGACTTTCTCATTTCTTCCTCTGATTTTTTTTTGAGGATGGTTTTTGATTTGAGGGTGTTATTTTCATAGCATTCATGCCAGCAAGGCTTTACCTGCTGATTCCTTTGAGTCACGCTCTGTCTCACTTCATGGGCTCCCTCAAGCTTATGCTCACGTGAGCACCCAGAGGCTAGTGGAATGGGTTCACTCAACTCGGACCTAATCCTCACCCTTATCCGCATCTTTGCCTTCCAGATTCCTCTAAAGTGTTGTAATTGAACAAATTCCTAACTTCATTTACCAGAGACTGTTCTGCTAAAGCCACTGAATCTCACTTGTAACAAATGGATATCTCAAAAGAATGTTTTCTCCTATGTCAGCAGTGACACCTGGAGACCCTGAAATCCACACTAGAGCTTCAGAAACTGTGGGAAATATGATTCTGACTCTTATGACTTAGAATGAAGTGTGGCTTCGCCACAATCATACAGAAAGCAGCACACTGCATTTCATTTGCAGTCCGATCTGTTGCCAGAATAAGCCACTGCCTAGAGGGGGTGAGCCTTGGAAGCTACTCAGAGTATGCCTGCTTTAAAAGTTCTCTCCCATTGACCTGCCACTGTGGACTAAAGTCCATGCCATCTGTCAGCCTCTCTCCAGGGTTGAGGTATTTACTGTCCCCATAAAAAATATAAATATATCCTCCAAGAGAGATGACCTTTAAATATGCCATCAACTCATCTTAGCATATGCCAGTGAGCTCCCCAGCCCCTTACAAAACCTTGAGGAGGTAGGAAAGGTCACATTTCATGGGGAAGAGAAAAAGGTAAAGGAAGGTCAGGAAGTTAGCATGCTGTTTGGTTGTCTAAATGAGTCAGGAGGCCTCTAGATTCAAAGAAACTCCCAAAGGACAGTGTAAAATAAAAGTCAGACACATCCTGGATGGTGATGGTGTGTATTTATGGCCAGGATAATTTCCAAATCTTCAATTTGCCGCAGCACAGGATCCCAAGAGCTGAGGCTGGACTTGACTCAGGTTAAGCGCCAAGCAAAGGGGACCAACAGCCCAGAAAAAATGGGCGGGAAGAAAAAATAATACAGTTTAAACATATCAAAGAATGGTTAAGTTCACTCATTTGAAAAAAGAAAAAGAAGAGAGGCGAATATAGGAAAGAGGGAGAGAGACTGACATTGAGGTTGAATGTGCCTCACAAACTGGGAGGTGAATTTCCTGTAAGGAAATTATCTTAGAGTTTGTCCACAGTCTTTTTTTAAAGACTTTTTAAATCTTTTTTTAAAGATTTTATTTATTTATTTGACAGAGGGAGAGATAGTGAGAGCAGGAACACAAGCAGGGGGAGTGGGAGAGGAAGAAGCAGGCTCCCTGCTGAGCAGGGAGCCCGATGCTGGGCTCGATCCCAGGACCTGAGCCGAAGGCAGATGCTTAACTGACTGGCCACCCAGGCGCCCCATTTGTCCACAATTTTTAAAGTGAAAATAGACTTACTGACTTTTCTGATTATAAAACGGACACCTGCTCATGATGAAAAATTCAAATAATATAGGCATAAAGAAGTAGAGATATCCTATAATCTTCATACCTATTGTGATATAGATTCACTCTTCTGAATGTTTTATATTCAGAAAAATTTCAGGCCTGAGGTGGAGAAAAAAATGTACATGTTAAAAAGTTTAATCTGGTAACCTTAAGTGAAGATGGGAGATAGAGTTCCACGAATGGGAGAAGTTGAACTCTACAATGAAATTGTATGTACGAACGAGGAACACTTCTGTTTAAATGACATGGAGCACCCATCACTTCTATGCCTGCTTCTTCCAGGTACAAGGCCTCCAGGAGGGCGTCAGCTACGTGTTCCGTGTCCGAGCCGTCAACCAGGCAGGTGTCGGCAAGCCATCAGACCTTGCTGGGCCTGTTGTGGCAGAAACCCGTCCAGGTGAGCTTTTACGCTTTCATTAAAATTAATCTCATCTGTGTAAGATACCAAAGCAACATTCAATCTTACTTTCTATGTTTTTCCTAATTTCCAAAATTATCAATGTATGCTATCTGAATAGTTGGTAAGTTTGGCTTGCGGACGTGAGTCATTATTGCATCATAGGCGCTCTTAGGACAGGGGTAAACCAGGTTTGAAGTGATCCAGGGCTATTCTGGTCTATACCTAAAAACGGGGAAGTTCTTGATCAAATTATGTTTCTTGGACTGACCATTTCAAGCATACATTCCTGGGACGTTATTCCTGTTACTATACTGTGGCCATTAAGTCCTACAAGCGTATTTTCCCAGTTGTAGGAGAAGCTGAACAGCCTAGTGAACAAGCATGATTCTTAAACAAAAGCAGAATTTATATAACTGTAGCTATTAAGTTAAGCCAGGGGTCAGCGAATGTTTTCTGTGAAGGACCAGATAGTAAATATTTTCAGCTCTGTGTCCATATCGTCCCTGTCACAATATCAACTCTGCCATGGCACAAAAGCAGCCATAGATAATACATAAACTCATGAGCAGGGCTGTGTTCTAATAAAACTTTATTGTGCCAGTTATATGCATTATATATTACATGTATTATGAAATTTAAATTTTAAGTAATTTTCACATGCCTTGAAATATTAATTTTCTTTTGATTTTTTTTAACTGTTTAAAAATGTAAAAACCATTCTTAGCTTGCAGTCCATACAAAAAGAGGCAATGGGCCAAATTTAGCCTGCAGACCATAGTTTGCTGACTCCTGGGTAAAACTAGCAGCAGTTTTAACTGGATGATCTATAGAGTGGCAGGAACTTACACTTCCCAGTTTGAAGAGATGCCATGATTGGACTAAGGAAGACAGTCTTCCCTTTTATTATGTGAACAAACTTTACAGTGTTCACTGTGCAAATAGTTTCAGATTATTACATAATAATTATTTATTTTTATTTTGTCATTTAATCTCTGTTGCTTTTCAAAGTTATTATGTATTTCAGCTCATAGAAGTTACATTAAGGAAAGCACTATAATGGTCAGCATAGGGAATATAGGCAATCATTTTGTATACTTTGTATAGTGACAGATGATAACTAGGCCTGTCAAGGTGATCACTTCATAAATATTGAATCACTACATTGTACATGTGAAATTAATGTAATATTGTGCCAGTTATAAATCAATAAAAAATAACTTCTAAAAAAGCATTGGAAATGAGAGAGGATAAAAACCTATTAACCAGTTATTTTAAGTTTGCCTTCATTGTAGTCCAAGCATGTTCACTTCAATACACCTCGATTTTCAGATTAAAATAAAGAGTAGATATATATAATGTATTTATTTTTATGATAAGGAAAGAAAGTAAACATAGAAACTTTTGCTCTCACTGCATATTACTTGAAAAGTATGTCAAAAGTATTCTTTTAGGAAGTATCTACCCTTCTCATGCTATTACTTCATAACCTACTTTCAACTACTCTTATAACTACCCTCTAAGACCTGGGTGTGAAAAATGACCTTATACACAAGTGTGGAAGTTGTCTGGAGAAAGTGCCACACCTCATATAAGTCCCTTTTGCAAAATTTCATGAGAAAACAGGAAAACACTAGGCACATATACACCAGGTAAAAGGCAACACCTGAAGACGCCAGGATATATTCATATAGGAATCAGACTCTGAAGTTGCCAGTTGTAAGGAAATAGAAACAAATGGACTTGCAAACTGATCCCACTGCAGACTCTTAATAAGAACATTTAGGTCACCATAGAGGTAAACTCTTCACCTAATCATCGATCAGCTAAAAGCACCCTTGAGGCAGTGGATTCCAACTCTGATCAACTGAAGAAAGGTTCAATTGATTTCTTAGTTTCTCCTCCATAGCCTCAGAATGGCAGGTGGCCAGGTATGACATTAATAAAACTAACACTATGGAAGTTTGACCACCAGAAAATGATCTTCTGATGAGCTCGTGGGTGAAGAGTTTCGTTTCACTGATTTGGAAGTCATTTTTTGTGGTCATTCCATTCCCAGAATATAACTACAAAGAACAGCTGCAGACATTGATCCACAAAACAGCACCAGATGGAGCCAGTCTTTGGCTCACAGCCTAGGAAAAAATCCTAGGATGTACAAAGTCAAAGTGCTTCAGCATGAAGGAGCACCAAAACCCAGGAGACACATGGACTTGTTCATATGCAACAAGCACATTCATTCTTGGGACGTACATTTCTTTTTTTTTTTTTTTTTAAAGATTTTATTTATTCATTTGAGAGAGAATGAGATAGAGAGAGCATGAGGGGAGGGTCAGAGGGAGAAGCAGACTCCCTGCC